GTGTTGACTAGATTACGAGACTCCTGGAGAGCTGACTGGATCACGGCCACCATACTCCTGTGATTAGCCCACTGATGTTCACAGCAGACTGTGCTGTTGGGGGTGGGCCCAGTTAGAGGTGGGTCCCTGCTGGGGTGTTTGGAGGGTGTAGATCTCACTGGTGCTCTTCTCCTGTGCTTCCTGGCCACCATGAAATGAGCAGCTTTGCTCCACCAGGCCCTTCTGCCATGAGGGTCCTGGCTTGAAGTCAACCAGCCATGGACTAAAACCTCTGAAAAAATAACCCAAATAAACTACGTCCTCCCCTTCAAACCTGGATGTCAGGTTTTGGTCCCAGTGTTAAATACCCAGTGTTTGTATGATCACAACACCTGGTAAACTGCAAATATTTATATACATTTCACCATCCGGTCCTTTCCAGCCTGGGTCTGGCAGAATGGCTCCCACAAAGGAAGGTGGTAAGATGAAGAGACTTGCTGCCACCAACGAGGTTGTGACCCAAGCATATATCATCAACGTTCATTGACAAATTCATACATGGAGCAGGCTTCAATAATCAACATGCTCCTCGGGGACTCAGAGAGACCTGGAACTTTGCCATGAAGAGTATGGAAACCCCAGATACGAACATCAATACCAGGCTCCACAGCGCTGCCTGGCCAAAGGAATAGGGAACGTCCCACACGGTAGCCACGTGCTGCTGTCCAGAAAAGGCAACGAGGGTGAGAATTCACTACACATCTCTGTACTCTGGTCATCTACGTTCCTCTTACCACTTTCCAAAATCTATAGTCAACGTGAGGGCCGGGGATTTAGCTCAGTGGTTCCGGCACCTGCCTCAAAAGTGCAAGGTCCCGAGTTCGATCCTCAGTACCCAAAAAAAAAGAAAGAAAATATAGTCAATGTGAACGAAGACTAACCACTGATTACCAAAGAAAGTTTTAAAACCATAAAAACATTCACCATCTTGACCATTTTTTAAGTGTTCAGATCAGTGGCCTTGAGTACATTTGTATGGCTGTACAACACTGCCACCACCAATCTGCAACCGTTTTTACAACTAAGGTTTTTTTAAATGTAAAAACATAAAATACTGTTGCATACCAGGAAAGTCAGATATTTTCAATAAAGCCATTTATATTTTAAATATGGGACAATATTCAGGCTGGAACTTAAAATCAGTTTATTAACTAAATGTTTAGGCCTGTTATTTAATAATGATTACATAGAATGGCCTCCTAACCCAAAATCTAAGATCAGAGTGAAAACTTTGTGTATTTTTCCCTTAAAGAAAAATAACTAAAAGTATTAAATGTTCAGTTTTACAGGCTCAGAAGAGATTTCTTTTTTTTTTTGATGGGGAAAATTTTTAAATTACAAACTCAATCCATTTGGTGTACTTCAAAAGATGCAATACTTTTCTTCATTTATCAGTGAAAGAAGTTAAAATTAACTTCAAAAAAGAAATTAG